AAACTTGCTGTTAGTATAGGCGCAGCACTGTTTCTCCCAAAGTGCGGCACTGTCACACTGTAGCACTGCCGCACTGAAAATGCAGCACTGTTGCGCCTGCAGACAAGCTCAAACTATAATTCAAAAACTGCCCAAGGAATATTGGATCAGGTAAATTACTGAGCTTCCTGAGGTAGTGTTGAACCTATTTCACCACTTGAATCACAACGGAAGCTTAAGCACAAGTAGATCGGGACCAAACCCTAGAATCACCACAAACACAAGTAAAGCAATGCAAATCACAAGAACACAAGTGAGACACTGATTTATCCCGTGGTTCAGCTCGTCACTAAGGCTTGCCTATGCCCATGTTGTTGAGGTTGCCACAAAGCCTTTGGGTCTCTTTCAACCCTTTTCTCGTTCTCAAGTCAAGAGAATGAACTCTTAAGATGAGGGATGATTTCACTAGCTGTTTGAGGTGATTACAAACCTCCCAGGGCTGCCACACAAGTTGGCAAGCTCCACGGGCGATGCTCTAGCCTGCTAGGAGCAAGCTCCAAGAGTAACAAACATAATCCACCGGCTTGAACGCGAACCAAGTGCTCTAGGAGTTGAAGAACAGTTGGGGCTGCTCTCTAATGCAGTTTGGAGGCTCAAACTCTCTTGGATTAGGAAGGGAATCAAGGAGAGAAGCTTGAGGGGCTCCAATGGTGAGTGAGGGAGAGATAGAGCTGCTCTGGTCGCACTTGGTGGGTAAATGAGCACTTGGTTGCACATTAAAGATTGTGCATTGTATCCCCCTTTATAGTACGGCTTTTTTAAACTCAAATTCAAAATATCAAAGAATTTAAACACCTTTGAGTTGGTCACTGCATCCTTTTATAATTGGGGGCTCCACCATCAAATGTATTGTCCTCATTCCCATTATACCTTGAGCATGTGACTTGAACCATTTCAACACATGAGAGATCAATCCATGGCTTCAAGTCACTTTCACTAATGATTTGATCCTCAACACAATATGACTCCTTATAGCTCGATTAGTTCCTCGAATCAATGCAAGTACTCTCTTCTTCACCTTAGCCATGATACCTCGGTCCTCAAGCCATTGTTTGCCCTTCACCTTTGCTTAGTCCCTCGAAGCCCTTTCCTTGCTATCTTCACTTTATCAAGTCATACTCAAGTCATATCATATTAAGTATCCATTAAAAATCAATTTCTTCAATATTGTGATCCTTGCTTGAATATCTTCTAGATATAAATGTTGAGATCAATCAAGCTTTAGTTGGATTCACATAGATTGAGATATATGAATCAACATCAATATAGTCAAGCCAATTCACGATTTCTTATATCCTCTTCATCTTGGCTTAACACTCCTAACACTCACTTCAATATCTATCTTCATACTTTTAGCTTAATCAAAGCAATGCAAAGTGATTTTCCAAATCTTTATATATACAAGCAAACCAACATAGAGACCGACTTATATCCAATATGAGTTGTGTCCTTTGTCATTTAAACCTTTGCTTGGTATTTCTTCACTTATGCATTCTTGACTCATTCTTCAATCATTGATCAAAGCTAATCTACTATCAAACTCTTCTTGTTCATGCAAAGCAAGCCATTATTAAGACCAATCCAAAATCATCAACTCATGTCTCTTTTAACATTTGCCAAATATGCTTGCTTTCTCATGATACTATGATATTCATCAACATAGAAGCTATTTCATCAACTCCATTTGCATTGTTGTCTTTCTCTTGAACTATATTGTTTCCGTGATCTTCCAACACAACAATACATAATTTTGGCCTTGATTTGAACATTATGTGGAATATCATCAAGTTTGCCTTCTTGTTGAACCTATATACACTTTTCATTCCACAATCCACAAGTGTATGCAATAAACTCAATTTCATGTTCAACACTTAGCAAGACCTTTAACGGTGTTGTCATTCAATTCACCAAAATCCACTAAAGGGTTAGATGCACTTACAGTCTCTATTAGGGTTGGTGTAACTGATGGCGTCCGCCATGTCCCCATCCTTTCTCGGGGGTTAAGACAGGGGAGAGATCGAGCGTGACTACGTAGCGTGCGATGGAAGGAGAAGGGAGTGGTCGTGGTGGACCGTGTGACTTGGTGTCCGGCCCGGGCCTATGTGGCTTAAGTGGGCCGCGGTTGTTAGCTACTGGCTGGCTAAGCCACCCCTGGACGGCTTACTATTCGGTGCCTTGAGATACCCAGGGTATTTTAACCCGATATTTTCTACAAAAAGAGTTTATCCTCAAGATTTAACAGAGAGAAATACTATCGTCAACGTAATCACTTATCTTAGAAAATCGCTTTCCAAAGAGAATCAAGAGCAGGAGAGCTCTACAGACCCGTACATGCGAACATCAGGATGTACAGTACATCTCTCTTCTCGAGCTCCGATCCGACAGCTATACATCATACATGCACTGGCTCCGGCAACTGTACAAATGCGGTAGTTTGAACGCCTTTCCTTGGCCGAAAAAAAAAAGGTCATGTGTACCCATCATGTGCACTGTGCACATGCACACTGAGAAGCGCCTCAACTTTGCAAGAACGGCATTGGCCTAATCGAGATGATCTATGCGGGGTTAGCTCGTGCTTTTTTCCGATCAAATTCCAATTAGCTTCTACTTCAATTCCAGGAGTAGTAAATAATTATCGACGACGTTTTATTCCTTCACCAGACCAAAATTTGCACTGAGAAACAATAAGGCCAACGACAAGCTAATTATCAAACTCACATATGTAGCAGGTGCAAACATTAGGGATATGCTATATCTACTCAATCCGTCCTAAAAAAAATGATGTTTTAGTTTGTCCAAAGTTAAACTATATATAGTTTAACTAGATTTATAGAAAATAATATTGATAACATTTGTATCTCTAAATAGGTTTATTATGATAATATAATACATGATTAATCTAGTACTAATGCTTATTTGATATGACAAACATTGATATATTTTATATATTTGATTAAACTTGAGATTGATTGACTCCTCATGTGTACACATATTTTGAAATGAAAGGAGCAGCTGACACACCGCTATGATTTCGCAATACTGTATTGAACAAAATTCAATAGAAATAAAGCCCTGCTGCTAATAACCTCTCCGGTGTGGACTTATTCACACTTCACACTGATTGACTCGTATCTATCTCTATCAATTTTAAGACGCATGCACTCTAGGAGAGGCGTGCGAATTTTATTTGTCCACATCCATGAAACCTAAGTAGAAGGTTTGAAACATTTCAAACCTAAGTAGAACTAATATAAGTCAAAAAATAAATTTAGTTACATATATAGAAAATATTATCAACATAATTAATTACACCTTTGTGGTATCATAAATGTTAATTATTTTTTTTATAGATTTGGTAAAACTTTGAAATTGATTGACTTCTTGGAAATCTAGAATTGCATTTTTAGACGGATGGAGTATTCACAATCAAGACCAACTTTGTTTCGAAGATGTTTTGTGCTGACAATTTGAATTGAAACTAATTTCAAGTATAGAAAACAAATTTGACATTTAAATTTTCCAACACGGTGCCAAACACCTCTCCGGCATAAGATGTTTATCTCTAAAATTTTACCGTGCGTTTTTTTCCTTGTCAATTTCGTTTTTCCCCGCCTACTATGCATCGGCTTCCTCTTCGTATTTCCCATACTGTTGTTTTCATGGTTATATTATATATTATATATTGTATATTGTATATTTCTATAAGAACATGGTTACATTTTTTTACTAATTTTAAAAAATAGAAATATATAGTAAGTTTTCTTTTGAAAATTATTTCTATATCTATATTTTGAATAGATCGACCGGGAGTTGAGTTGAACTCTCCAGCTCACACATCACGTTCTTTACGACCAAACATCCGGTATTTTTCCATTAAAGCTCTCTAGCCAACCTTCGCGAGGAGTCCTCGTCTTTCCAGCATGCAGGGCAAGTGCTACCGACAGATCTTGGCTTATACTTGGTGCTAATTGTACTTCAATCCGATGGAGCATAACAACGCCTGACATATGTGCCAAAGACCAAAGTCAGTGCAGGTCGATCGAAAACGTGGTCGATCTGTGTCCAGGTCCCACTAGCACCGCCGTAGCAGAAATCAGCGGATCAGGCGGCGTTGAAGATGTGTGGATATTTGCTCCATCTCTCGATCTGCTTTATTTATTTCCTTGGCGGATTCCGACCGAACCCATAGCATGTTCGTTTAGCTGTGGCTTATCGTAAACGATCGTAAATTTTCAACTAGAATAGTATTTTTCTCGAACCAGCAAAAAAAAAAAAAAAACCAGCCAACCCAGCAGGTGTAGATGCCGTTCGCACCCGAGATCGATCACGGCGTAGTGGATGCCAGTGCGAAGCTGCGTGCATGCACGTCCGCCTACGCAGAATGCAGTAGGTACGCGTGGCCGTGAACAACACCCCCCACCCTGGTCACACCCCCGCCCACACACACACACCCGGTGCTCCATCGGTTCTTGTCTCCCAGACCCGGCCGGTGCAGCAGCATGGCCTTGCGCCGTCACCTTTTCGCGCCAAAAAAGCTAAGTTACCGCCACCGCCACCTACAGCTAGGGCTCCCCACCCAAAGCTTTTGCACGTACTCACATGCCTGTCGTTCCTCTTCCTACCGGCAATTCCTAAGCAACACAGAATGTGCTCGTTTGACCTCCCTTGATGTGACCCGGCCCTTCGACCACTAGTAATGCATGCACTTAGTAGTAAACTTATATTTATATTAGTCATAATATATATAATAAAATCCTGCGTCAGCTGGCTATATAAAGCCCCACATATCCATCTCTCGAGAGCTGACTAATCAAGGCTGCTTGCATTTCTTCTCTAGCCATCGAGAGGGAGAGAGAGATAAGTAATCAAGCAATCCTGAGTTCTGAGCTTGCTTCTGATCCATACATATAACATATATATATACACGTGCGTAATTAGAGGTTCACTGCAAGCATATACCTATGGCGACGACGACGAGGAAGGTGTCCGTCTCCGTCCCCGCCATCCTGCTAGTGCTGGCCGTGCTCTCCTGCCTCCTCCTCGTCCACGGTTTGTACGGCTTGCTCGAGCTGTTCGGCCCGCCGGACCTCTCGCCGGAGGCCACGCTGCTGATCTGATCTTTGCCCTGTGTTTTCTCCTCCTCCTTGCAGCGGCAGCGGCAGGCAACCGGAGGGCTCTGCTGCCGAGGGAGCCACCAGCCGACACCTACGTCGGTGGTGGTGGTGGACAGGTGTTGCCGACGACGGCGGAGGAGGCCGCCGTGGCGAGAGGTGAGCCGCATCAGCTCGCCGACAACGACGAAGAGATGATGGAGACATCAGCGGCCAGGAGGGCGGGGCTGCTGCAGACTCAGGACTACCCGGGGTCAGGCCCCAACGGCCGCCACGATCCGCGGAACCCGCACTGATGAGACTGTAGCTGCCTCCCTCCCCTGCACAACCTGCACAACACGTGTAGTCGTGTATACACCTATGACGTATCATACGCATGTTTATCACACCATAATTTTGCATATCTAGACACACATATATAAATATATACTAGTTTACATATGAAGGAAACATGATCTAAATTTAATTCATCTCGTGAATGACAACCAATAAGGCTACCATGTAAATGTACTACTTGCATCTTGTTTTCAGTTTTCAAGTGTACTAGTAGTATAGTAGTTTGTGATCAATCCTAGCAAGCTGGAAGTTCAATCGCTAAGTTACAATTAAGCATGTGGTACATGCATGTGTCATCATCTGTACTCGCATAGACCAATAATGAATAAATCAAACATGTGTTTTTGCATCTGTCCAATACCAAGCCCAATAGCTGGGATTTTCTAATGAGTTAAATGCACGATCGGTTCCTGAACTTGTCAAAGGGTGTCATTTAGGTCTATGAATTTAGAAAACATATTTCTGAATCTCTAAACTTGTTAAATTGTGCATCTCGCAGGTCCACACCAGCCACATGTGCATTTCTTGCTTATGTGTCACGCCAACGTGGCAAGTATTTTTTGTACTTAGCCCCTCATCTTCTCTCGTTAATGTATCCCTTCCTTCCCATTTTGTCTATTTGAGACAACGGTGGGCACGCGCATGCCATTTGCTGCCGCACGGCCTTGCCGCCCGGCTAGAACTTAAAGTTGATGCAGTCTTCGTCGGGCTTTGGCGCGGGCATTGGTGTCGCGTTGTCAAAGAGGTACGTGCGGTGACGTTGAGGAAGTACATGCGTCCGGGAGCCATAGCCGTCTCTATGGGCACCATGCAGTACTCCTCGCTGGAACAACGGAACCGTCGGAACGTCAGCATCCCTCGCTACGGCCCGGGCGAGGACATTTGGGAGCGGGTGCGTCATGGCAGAGCTCTACACCGGCGCACCCTTGTGTTCATGGGGACATGGAAGGCCGATCAGACAGTGGAGCTAAGAGACGAAATCATCACGACGGGAGTGGAGACCTTCGACTGGTACGGATTGATGGAGCTTTTTCAGCTTTCGCTGACTGGGCTTGAGTTGCTCGCTGCGTCGCTGGCTCACGTTCAGCAGCGGCACGAATAGACTTTGAACGACGCCGACGGGATCCTGTCGTGCGGTTGCCTGGCGTTCGCGGCCACCGGCAGCGGCATGGACATCATCGTTGGGAACGAGCAGCGGTCAGAAGAGGTGTGTGCAGTGTCGACAATGCGTCCGTCAGGTTCAAGCCCAGCTCCTGCTGATCTATCAACAGTTCCACACTAGTGTCAGCAACAAGCTAGTCACTCGTGCATGGTCAATTGCTGTTGTATATTGCTTCTGTCGCGTATTACTGGGCAGGTGCTCATCAACTGATAGATCCACGTTGCTTTCGCTCCATGATACAATGTGTCGGGTTCATAAATCCGATGTCCCTCGCGGACCGGCTTCCCAACAAAGACTCGGTCCAAGCAAACAACGCGTAACTCATGGGCCGGCCCAAGTACCTAAAAACGACAGGCCAGAAGAGCGATACAAATCTTCGACCGGAAGGCCTGACCAAGGAGGAACAGACGCTCACTCCAGACTCTGGCCCGGTCTCCAGCCCACCTCCGGACGGTCTCTCTGACCGGAAGGCTTGGCCGAGGAGGAACGGCGCCCGCTTCAGACTCCGGCCCACCTCTCCGACCAGAGCGCTCGCTTCAGTCTCTAGCCCGCCTCCGGACGACCTCTCCAACCGGAAGGCCTAGCCAAACACTGCTTCCGACTCCGACCTGCGTCTCCGACCGAGGATGCGCCAAATCCCTGCTCATTGCTCTTCTTCGACTGGCACGATCAGAGCCGACTGGGACCAACCGACCGGGGACGACCGCTCGGTAAGGACCAGGAAACAGACGGAGAAAGTAAGGTAGGGCGCACGAGTCAAACCGCAATACCGGGGACCGTACCCTGTACACCTACCGAAAAAGTACTCTGCGACCTCCCTGGCACGACAGAACCCAAGCAGTGTTGTAGGCGCCGACATTTTCCCCTATAATATTGTGGGCGTCATTAACTCCCATACGGTAAGGCCCCCCCCACATGCCTCTGGGCATCGACAGTGTTGTGGGCGCCGACATTTACCGTATTAGGCGAACATGGTAAAACCCCTTGCATGCCTCCAGGTATCAACAGTGTGGCAGGCGCCGACGACTGTCATACCCGAAGAAGACAACACAACCTCCCATGTGCATGTGACATTCAACAGTATTGTGGCCGCCTACCATCATCCTGTACCCACCGACGTGGGCAACAAGGCTTAGTAGCATACGTACTGTCTCCCTCTCATTTGTAAGGCCATCCTCTTCATCTATAAAAGGGGATGCGCTCTCTCCCAACAGATAAGTTCACTCAGATTCATTAGATCGATCAAGTTCTCTAACAACATAACCACCAGGTTCAAACCACAAGCATACGCTCGAACACTTATCTCATAGCGGGGCTCTCGTCACTCTCGGCCCTTCCGACCGGAGTCCGACCGGACCTCTTGTACCCCCCATCTTTCTCCTTCTCGTTTGTAACCCCACTACAAACTTCGAGCACCTCGGCTCAGGAATAAAGTCACCGACCGATTCAAACTGGACATAGGGCACGTTGCCTGAACCAGTATAAACCCTGTGTCATTGAGTGCTAGGCCACCTCCGATCACAACGTACAACAAAACTACAAATATTTACGTGTTGGTCACTTTCTGCACCGACAGTTGGCGCTGTCCGTGGGGAAGACGTTGTACGTTCAACACTTTTTGGTCATCAGATGGCCCACTTTTTCGCCACCTTTGCCATGGTGGGCTCAAGCGATACTACTCGCTTTGGCTCACTAGAGTTTCCCGCACTCCCACCTGTTGGGATGTGGGTTCCACCCATCTTCGAGCCGTCCCAGGCCTTCCTGTTCGGAAGCCTGGACTTCGTCGCCGGCCGGCTCGGCATACTACACCTCCGCGAGGAGGCACTCGTTCCAGCGCCCATCAGAGGGGCGCCCTCCATCGGCTCCGGGACGCACGACGACTACAATGACGAGGCATCTGCGCTTTATTCTGAGCAAACTCTCTGCTCAAACTCCGCTGTGAGTAATGTACATACCGTTATTTACTCATTATTTACTATCTTCTGTCAATTATCCGGAGGGACTGCGTTGTCCATACCATAACCACCGCACGACCGGTTCCCCTACGGCCTCGCGTCCTCCGCGGACGCATATGCCTGGGGGCTCCGAAAAATGCTGACGCCACCCCCTTTGACATCCGAATTCGTGGGGATGGCGAGCTATGCTCCCACCTGTTTCTACGAACTCCTGGATGACGAGGCTAAGAGCGATGGCTCCAGCATCAGCAACGTGGCGCCTAGCCACCAACTGTCCTGGGAGTGCGCTATGGTGGACGCTCTAGGGCAGCCACCGATAGTTGCGGAGTCTGTGTAGACTCACACCCCTCCGGACCTGCGTGCAGGGGCCCTCGCGCTGGCGCAAGGGCATGCCGAGGAGCTACGACAATGGCGGCAAAACCATCCGCCTCCTGCGTCGGCGCGCTTGGTACAGCACGTTGCGCCCCATGCGCATGACCCGGCCGGCGGCGCTCGGGGTCACGCCCGCCAGGTCCAGCGCGACATCATAAACGATGGGAACGACCGCCCACAATTCACTCGGGCTAGCTAGAACATCGCTGCAGCAGTAATGCTTCTACGCGACATTCCCGAGCTCGTTGACCCCCAGGAGCGGGTAGTCTATCGGAACCTCTGGGCGCTGGTAGAAGCCGCCGCCGTTCAACAAGCGAAAAGCTCCGCGTTGCGACTCCGACACGCGCCTTCTCTCCCCACTGGGGGAGTGGGGACGCGCTAGACGGATCGCTCCATCCGCTCACCACTACAACCGCCAAGCATGGCTCGGGAGACAGCGGCTGCACCACGGTCTGACCTAGCACCTGCTCCACACCGACCGTCGGTACGCGAGCAGCCTGGTTTGCACCAAGACGCTTGCAGTGTCGTCAGCAACCGGCATCACGCCCGGCGTGATGATGACGTCCACCGAGCGACAGTGAGGGCAGGCGACACGGGCCCCGGCCGATCCACCGAGGGGAGCGGTGAAACATGCCCCAGACATGATCACCGGTGAGATGACCGGAGTCCTAGCCCCGAGGGCCCGGGACCACGGGCCTTTGGCCGACGCATCTGGAGAGCACCATTCCCGCAGCACTTCCGATCGCCCACCAACATAGCCAAGTACACCGGGGAGACAAACCCTGGTATTTGGCTCGAAGATTTTCGGCTCGCCTGCCGAGCCAGGGGGGTGAATGATGACCTTTTCATCATTCAGTATCTCCCTATCTGCGTAGGGGAACATGTTCGAGCATGGCTCGAATTCCTCCCGCATGACAGCATCCGTGACTGGGTGGACCTCAAGAGGGTCTTCATCGGAAATTTCTAGGGGACGTATGTCTGCCCTGGTAACTCCTAGGACCTCAAGAGCTACCAGCAGGAGCCCAGCGAGTCCCTGTGGGATTACATCCATAAGTTCTCCCAACAATGCAACTCCCACCTTGATGTCATCGACGCAGACGTCATCAGCGCATTTCTCTCCGGGACGACCTATGAGTCCCTGATCCACAAGCTTGGCTGCCTGAAGCCCCATACCACCCGTGACCTGCTTGACGTCGCCACTAACCATGCCTCTAGCGAGGAGGCAATCGGAGCGGTCTTCGACGGAGGCCGGGACAAAGGTAAGGCCAAGCGCGCGGACCAATACAAGGGCCCCTCCATGCAGAGGGGCAAGAAGAACAAAAAGGACCGGCGCCGACCGGACAACACCGCGTTGGTCGCCACAACTAACCGCACGGCAAGCAGCCCCAATAGGGCCTGCCTGACCACTTCAACAAACTCATGGATAGCCCATGCACCAACCACGCCTACCCCATCAAACACCTCTACTAGG